AAACCTGAGCAAGGGACAGGCAACAGGTGGCAGAGAGCAGAGCACAGAGCCTCCCACAGGGCTCGGCTGAAGCTGCCGTCTGTTCTGGTCCTGTCCTGCCTGCCTCCCCTCTGTCCTGCACACCTGGTGGTCTCACTGCAGAACTGGCTGTGCTGACGTCTTCTGTGGCTGCCCAGTCCTGCAGTGCAAATGGCAGGCCTTTGTCTACAATGGGGTCAAGCCGCCTCCCTCTCAGGAACCTGGGTCAGGGCATTATGGAGGCCCCCACTCTGGCTTTCCTATATTGGCACCTTTTATGGAACAATCTGAGGACACAGAGAAGTTGCCTTTCCCTCAAAGGGCAGCCCTGCAACCCCTCAGAGCATGCCTTGCTGAAAGGCAAGCTCAGACCCAGGGCTCTGGCAGCTGTGACTTTGCTGCAGGGCCAGGCGGAGGCTGGGGACACATGCCCAGGTGAGCAGAGTTCAGTCAGGGTTGGGGATGTAATGCTCAGGGCTGATCCTTGCTCAGTCTTCTGAGCCATAAGCCATAAATGCCAGATATGACCCTTGCTTGCCCTTGAAAAGCGTTTGGACCAAGAGAAATTGGGGGAAGGGTGAGTGGTATTGGCAGATCCAAGTTTGTTTTCCCAGTAGGCCCCATGATTCTGTGTACCAGAGAGGTGCTGGGCCCAACGATTGCGGAAACCCTAGAGGAGTTCTCAACTTATCCACATTCAAGCCAGCAACCTACTTAAGTCCTTTATTTCCCCTCCTATCTCTTCCTGTCTCTGCTCCCTCCAAAGATGAAAATGCATGCAAATTGCTTAGGACAGTATATGGTACACACTGCCATCTGCATTTCCCAGAGGGTAAATCAGGACTGCCCACTGTAGTTCTCCAGGGTCACTCATCACATTTCATGTTATTACCATCAGCAAGTCTTGACTTGTTCAACAGTACTCAGCAAGTGAGTGCAAGTGAAGAGTCAACTCACCCATTCAGCAGCATTTATTGAGCACTTGCTATGTCCATGAACTGCTATTGATACAGGGGTACAGCAGTGAGCAAAGCTGGCCCAGGCTGTGATGAATCCAAAGCTTTCACTCCCACCTGTCTAAGCTGTTCGCAAGGTAGGGTAAGAGTCCTAGTGTATGACAGTGAAAGAGGAAGTTTGCATAGATCAGTAGTTTGGCCAGCTGAATCAGCTCTGTGCCCACTTGGAATGAGACCACAGGCTCCTAGGAAAGCCTCGGGCCCCTTTCCTGGCTCTGGCTCTGTGTGCCTCTCATTTGATGCCCTCTGGCATCTCTGACCTGATTTTGCATGTTTGTCTTGCATCTGGGCCTTTCCTCTGCCATACCCTTGGTCTCGACACTGTGGCCTCTCTTTTGCTTCTCAAGTCTACTCTCACCTGGAATGCTTATTTTGGTTCCTTGTCACTTTTGTGCTGCAGTATTCCTAGGCCAGCCAGAGCCCCAAGCTCTCACTTGCCGGGGGGATAAGGGTTAAATAGTGACAGTATCTGCTCTCCTTGTCTGTTCTTTGTGAATGAGCTCTGTGCTGTGACTTAGCTGAGCTGTGAGGGATAAAGGCAAGGACTCCTTCGGGCCAGCCCCCACCCCTCTCCCTGTGGCCTGTAGCTCCAGCTCAGTTGTTAGCCCCTTGAGACCAATGGTGAGGAGCGTCCATGCTGCTGGGAGCTGCTCTCCTTCCAGACTGCTCCTCTTGGTTCTGGGGCATAACCTGACAAAACCTTGATGCTGGTCTCTACCCATCCACCCTGAGGAAAGGCATTTCCTCCATTTCTCAGGACCTGGAGGGAGCCTCAAGCAGATGCTGCCTTTCTACTCTTGGCTCTTAATCTTTTCCCCAAAGGTCCCTTCCCTGGACAACCAGACTGTGAGGGCAGCACTCCTCCCTTTGCATCCCCACCAGTGAATCTAGCAGGTTCCCTAGGTGAGGACAGCAAGGCTGGGAAGCAGAGGCAGAGCCACAGACCAGTATAGAGTGTCAGCTTCTGCTTGATCAGGCAAGTTTTGAGATAGCGTCTTATGAGGAGAAGGGCAGCAGTGAGTGGAGAAGATGGAAGCAGCTCCCAGTGAGGATTAAGAAGGCATTTTGAGTGGGCTAGAAATGACAAGCAAATTGTTTGAACAAAGGAGACTTCCTTCCCAAGTCAAAGGTGTAGGCAGCAAATCTTTTTTGCCTGCTGTTTTCTATATTTTCTCTTTTTCTAAACCAAGATCAGTGTGTACTTTCTTAGCAGGAGATCCACCCATCCATCCATCCATCCATCCATCCATCCATCCATCCATCCTTCCATCCTTCCATATATCCACCATGCAACTAACCATCATACAGTAAGCGCCAACCATGTGCTAGGTGCTGGGTTCCAGAGATAGTGAATGCATATAGAGATATATAGAGATCTATCTAGAAGAGTGGAAAAAAAAATCCTCCCCTGCACTTAAGAAGCTCAAGTTTGGTGAGGTATATGCATTTATGAAGTGACGGTGTATAGTATATCATGGAAGAAGGTGCTCAGGGTGATAGATGTGGGGGTAGTGGGAAGGCCTATCTGTGACTGGGAGAGAATATTGCTCAAGCCTGTTCCCTTGAACTGAAATGGGTTCACCCTTCCCAGCAGACACACTTGTGGGAGGGCTGAGGGCTTCCTTTGGCCTTTCTGAGTCACATCCTGTTTTTTTCTCTTCACTGCAGACCTCTCTGCATTCATACATTTGTTAAGTACCTTAATTCATTGTGAATTGAAGTGCTGGAGGGAAAAAGGGAAATTGTCCTGGGTACTGGCCTGGGCCACAGCTGGGGTGGTGCTGCCCATGTGTGTGAGTGCAGGTCTAGGTGTAGTTGTGATTCCCAGTGCCCCACTGGTTGAATAGCATTGGCTATGAGAGGCTGGCTGGGAGATCCATGAATGTCTTGAGAAGAGAAATCTTCACATCCTCAAGGACCCTCAGCTCTGAGTTATCCTTTCAGAAAAAAATAAAACCAAGCCAACTCTAAGTGGCTTACATTATCTTACAACAATTTCTCCATTGTGGCTTTCTATTCCAGAAGGGAGGTAGACGTGTCAGAAATGATTTTGCCATGGTAGAGGCTTCTGAGAGCTGGGGGGCTGACCAGAACATTCCTCCCCAAAGAAATGCTCCCCCAGGACTGGAGGTGTAGTAGACAGGGTCTGTCCTGCTGTTCCCTGTAGGGCAGAGGGTGAACTCCAGGTGGTGGGAAAAACTTCTGTCTGCTCTCAGGTAAGCACCTGTGTACTCCAGGGCCCTGAAAATGGTCACCAGGTGCCGACATGTCTGCTTCCCTTTGGCCTAAGGTCCTTGGTTAAGTCAGCAGTGGTCAGTCATCCCAGGCACCCTTCTGCCACCCCTGAGACATCTCCTGTCAATCCTCCACCCACTTACACCTACAGTGTGGGGAGGTGCCAGGCACATGGGCTTAGTGGCATACATCCCTGTGCCCACTGCATGGACACAGGTTGAAGGCAGATAGGACAAACCTCTTTAGGAAAGGTCAGGGCGCAGGGGCCCTCACAGAAGCGGTCAGCTCTGCTTGGATATGTCATGGCAGAGATGACCCTTGAGAGTTAGCCTGAGTTGCTGGGCACACATTATAGCAGATGTTTTTGGTGATGTCCTGTACCAGCTCCTTTGCCCACCTCTGATTTCAGTTGTAATTCTGGGGACAATTCCCATCACCCAAGCTCTTGTCTGGGACTCTGTTTGGGGGCACCTAGTCTAAGACATGTGAAGGTAGAAATCTCAGGCTGAGAATAAGGCATGGAGGTGTTAAGGGCGCAAGGGACATTCTGGGGGATGGGGTGGGAGGTAGACTGGGAGGAGCAGGGGTTCGTCCTGCAGCCCGAGGATTGTCCCAGGAGTCCTGTGTGGCCGACATATTCTTCTATTTATATCCAGTGATTTTGTTTTCCTGAAATATTTTTATCAGACCCCTTGCTGCTGAGATGTGCAGAGAATTTTCCCTTTGACCTAATTTGGCTGATGGTTGTTTGTACAACAGTTACTGTGAGGGACCACACACCTGTCTGAGGGTGGATGTTACCTCCCCCCATACCCTCCTCTTCCTCTCCTTCCTTCTTGCTCCATGACACCCACTGGGAGGAGTGGGGTGGCATGAAGGATAACACCTGACAACAGGGCTGTCCTCCTGCCCACAGAAGGCTCTTGCTGGACCCCTGGGAAGGCAGGTGTTGGTGTTTGGGCTCATCCATATCAAAGCCCTTAATCATGATTAGGAGGGTGAGCCAGACCTGTTCCGCCGCCCCCCCCCCGCCCCCCGGATCCCACAACTGTGGTGTAGCTCTTCTCACTGTTATTCCCACTTCATCCTACAACCATGCTCTCCAGAGCTCTGAGATAGGCTGTGTTTCCTCTCCGACTCAGCTATGGCTAATAGACAGCTAAGCAAAGGGGGACTTCTCAGCTGTACACAGTTGCAAATCCCATAAGCATCCGCTGGCCAGCAGTGACACTGCAGAGCAGGCTTGGTGGCTTCCTGAATCTCCATCACCATCACCTGCTCTACCCTACTCCTTCCCACATTCATGCCTTTGCATAATGCTGTGCCCTCCCTATAATGCTCCCATCTTTTATCCTACTGATCCTTCTAGACTGAGCTTTCTGCCAATCCTTCGCTCCATCCTGTGTCACGTGAGCAGGATGCCCCACTCCAGTCTCACAGAGAGCCTGCATATAGGACTCCATCGTGGTGCTGATCACTTTGGTTCTCCTGTTGATGTTCAGATCCACCTCCTGACTGGTTCTTGAAGCAGGGCTAGGTCTTATTCTACTCAGGACCCTGGCACCTGGCTGGGTTTTTGAATGAATACCTAGAAGCCTGAGGATCATGGCATAGCTATTGGGCATCACTTGTTGCTGTTGACATCTTCGGTTAACCCAGCCCTCTACTGGTTTCTTTGCCCTCTCTGGAAATGCACCCATGGAAAGGGTTTCACCACCTTTGTCTTTGCAGATCTCCAACCTCTACCTGTATGACAGTGTTCTGATGCTAGCCAACGCCTTCCACAGGAAGCTGGAGGACCGGAAGTGGCACAGCATGGCAAGCCTCAACTGCATACGCAAGTCCACCAAGCCGTGGAATGGAGGGAGGTCCATGCTGGACACAATCAAAAAGGTGTGTGTGGAGGGCACCCTCCCAGGCCAAGGCCAAGGCCAAAGCCAAAGACAGGCCCCTCCTCACACCCACTCCACACTTCCGCCTCCTCCCGCAGGTGGCCTGAAGCTGAGCTCTTTGTGTGGTTGCCCCATAGGCCCCTCCCAGGTCTCTCTCTTTGCCATTCATCCTCTCCCAGTATTTAAGGGATGAGTGAGCTGCATTTCATGGCTATGTGTTCTTACTATTGTCCCTGTTTTCATATAAGGAGACTGGACTTCAGAGAGGTTAAGTAACTTGCCCAAGGTCACAAGTACAGTAGTCTTCCCTTTGTCTACAGTTTCACTTTCAGTAGTTTCGGGTATCCATGGTCAACCATGGTCTAAAAATGTTGAATGGAAAATTCCAGAAATAAACAATTCATAAGTTTTTGAATTGCACCCCATGCTAAGTACCTCACTTAATCTCATCATGTAGTCATTGTATCATTTCACATCATCACAAGAAGAAGGGTGCATGTAGTACAGTAAGATATTTTGAGAGAGAGAGAGAGAGAGACAAGAGACCACATTTGCATAACTTTTATTGCAGTATATTGTTATAATTGCCCTATATTATTATTTGTTATTGTTTTTTATCTCTTACTGTGCCTAATTTATAAATTAAAGTTTATCAGAGGTATATATGTATAGGAAAAAACATAGTATACATAAGGTTTGGTACATCCACAGTTATAGGCATCCACTGGAGGTCTTATAACATATCCCTCAGTGATAAGGCAGGACTACTGTAAGTAAAAAAAATTGAGGCAGCTGCCTAGCTCATGTTTGCCACTGTCTGTAAGAGAGGTTTCCTCAGTTGGTAGAGGATGTGCTAATCATCCAAGACCTCAGCGTGTGTGCATGTGTGTGTGTGTACATGCATGTGTGCACCTGTGTATGTGTGTATGAGTGTGCATGTTCAGGCACTCTATACTTGTGATGTGTTTCATGACATGCTGAGGCGTGACACCAAGTTAGAAGGCTGGATTTGAAGTGAATTGGGTAATCCACAGAAGATTTGTTAGGGTGAATTGGCTTTTAGAGCTTCAAAAGAGCATTTAAGGAAATCTATAGTGCTAGAAGTTTTAGTCGCAATAAATCGTGCATGGTTTCAATAGCAGTGTAAATATTCTGTGTTGGTTTGAATATCCTGCAACCCAAGCCAGGGCCAGGGGCCCTCTTGGGACTCAGCCTTGGCATTCTCCCCGCTCACGGTCTATGGGAGATTAAGGTTGGATGAGACCCCCCCACCCCAGGCTTGAGGAATGAAGGGGGCTTATTAAAGGTTAGCTCTGACCCCTGCCGCCTGCTCCTACAGAGCCCACTGAACCACTGGAAAGAGGCGCTGGGTATACACACCCACCACACTCAGTCTGTGCCAGACACCATTCTTTGTGCACATTTTCTCCTTCAGTCCTTGCAGGATCTGTGGCATGGATCTAATTAATTTCAGGCTGAAGCTGGGAGACGGGAGGTAACTTGCCTAAGGTGGCACAGGTGGCAAAGCTAGGACTGGAGCTGGGTTTTGGCCTCCAGTTGTCATGCTTGCTGCCCTGCAACTTACCGCCATGCGTCTGCTGTGGCTTTTATTGACCTTGGACTTTCTCTGAGCTCAAGCTAGGGCAGCGGTTCTCAACCTGTGGGCCGCGACCCCTTTGGGGGTCGAACGACCCTTTCACAGGGGTCGCCTAAGACCATCGGAAAACAAAAAGATATTTACATTATGATTCATAACAGTAGCAAAATTACAGTTATAGAGTAGCAACGAAAATAATTTTATGGTTGAGGATCACCACAACATGAGGAACTGTATTAAGGGGTCGTGGCATTAGGAAGGTTGAGAACCGCTGAGCTAGGGTGAGTGCCTGGAGCAGGTTGCCAGGTAGACTATAAGCTCTAGGTGGGTGGGGACAAAAGCTGCCACTCTTTAAATCATGGCCAGCACAATGTGTGGCCCAGAGCAGTGCTCTAATCTTATTGCCTGCCTGAATGACAGGTTCAGTCTTAGGAATTGCCCCTGTGAGCAATGGCCTAGGAAGTGATCCTGCTCCGAGGCCCTAGGACAGCCAGCCTCTCTTTTCTCATTACCGCGGGCCCATTGCTTCCGCAGACCTCGATGGTTCCTTTCTTGGTCACCACTCCCTTCCCTTCCTTGCTTTCAGATCCAGTCCCCTGCACCACTCATGTTTGCCCCTCCCTCCAACGGTCTTTCCTTCTCTCTGCAGGGCCACATCACTGGTCTCACAGGGGTGATGGAGTTTCGGGAGGACAGCTCGAATCCCTACGTCCAGTTTGAAATTCTCGGCACAACGTACAGTGAGACCTTCGGCAAAGACATGCGTAAGGTCAGCCTCCACCCTCCTACCCACCCTCCCCTCGCCCCACCCCGCTGTGGTGGCGTGGGATGCGGGTTCTGAGCAGGTGTGAACCAGGACAGACGTCCCCCTCCCAGTCTCTGTTGATGTGCCCTCCGCGCTGGTGTGCATGGGGCCGAGTGGGGAGGAGGCTCAGAGAGGTTCAAACAGAAAGGGCCAAAGTGTCGCTAATACCATCTCAGTCCAGTGGGGGACCTGGAAGCCCTGGGCCTGGAGGGCCAGCCTTGTGGTCCTGGGCTAGGCTGGAAGGGACACTATGTTTTCCCAGAGTGGTTGAAATTGGCTGAACCGACAGGACAGGTGCTGAGGTAGGAGACAGAGGTTATAGCCAGAGAATGTCCCCCAGATCCAAGAGTAGACAAGGCCATGAACAGAAAAGTAAGTCATGAGGAGGCTGAGAAGCATGCAGTGACACACACGGGCTGTATAACTCATGGTGGGCTTCGGCTGTTCGATTTGGTGCTCATGCAAGGGGTAGATCTGGGGCTCCTTAAGGAGATACTTTGCCTGTTTTCCCTCCTCTTATGGGGATTTTCAGGACTGAGGACTGGACGATGGCCTTTACCCAGCATTAGAATCCCCAAAGTTAAGCCCCAGATGGAATCGCTCATGATGTGAGTCAAGACAGACTCAGTCTAATCAGGATAGCATTAAAGCATTAGCTGGTTGGCATGCACTCAGGCACAGGCTCACATGGTAGACACACACACACACACACACACACACACACACGCACACGCACACACACACTCACACACAGAGTCACATACACATTTCTATATACTAGAGAGAAAGACAGCTCTTCTAATGACAATGCCCAGGAGACAAAGAGCACAGTAAGCTCTCGGCGGGCAGGCTAAACCCTTGGCAGAGAGCCTTCTACACTGGCCAGCACTGGCTAGGGGTGGTGGAGGGGCAGAAAGGGTTACATGATGTTGGGGTACCGAGGAACTAGGGGAGGGAATTTGTGGGCTGTGCTCCTTGAGGACCAGGTAGCAGGATGCATATGTGGAGTTATGGAGGGTGTGAGAGCTGGGGGCGCTGAGGGAGTGGTCGCCAGTTGCAACATGGAGGAGGATTGGTTCCCCAGGGAGAAGCTGGGAAGGCTGAGGATCCTTGTGTGATGTGGGGCTGGGAGACTTTCAGCCCATCCTGTGACAGAGTCATGGGGCTGGTCATAAAAATCATAGAAGGTTCAATAATTGGTTGAGATGCAATGGTGATACATGGTTTGATGACATTTTTGAGCGTCAGGGGTTTGTTGGCAGCATCAAAGAGGGGGTGGACAACTATGGTTTGATACCTTGGTGGGTCAGGGTGTGACCTGCAATGTCAAGGGTGTCAGGGATAACCTATGATGTCTGTTAGAGATGCGCAAAGCTGTGAGGCTTGGTGCAGGGCTGGGTGGTCCACATTGGTCTGAGACATTCATGACCAAAATAGAAATTGACTTGTGTTGGTACTGCCACCTGGTAAGGGGAAACCAGGACAGGAAGCCCTTTCAGTCACTCTGTTATGAAAGGAGCTTGTCAAGTGTAGCTGCCTGCTGACGCAACCATTCATGTCTGCCATGGTACTAGCCGTCATTCCTCAGTGTTCCTCTGAGGTTAGTGACAATCAGGCCCCGTCTGCTGGCTCCTTTGCTACCCAATCCCCCTTCTTTCAGCTCAGTTCTAACACCAAGGGCCTCATAGTGGGTGGCAGTGTTGCCTGTGAGAGTCTCTGCCTCATCTTAGGCAGCTGATGGGGGGCCACTCCAGGTGCCTGAGAGAGCAGGAGGCACTGTGTCCTCCACTTCCTGTTTCAGGTGTCTCAGCCTTTGCGCGTTGCCACAGCAACGCTCCTCCAGTACTGTGAAGCCAAGGGGAGCTGGAATCTCTCAGTATAAGGAGCTTCTGAGCAGGAGTCCTGAATATAATTGAGTTGGAAGGGAAGCTGATTTTCAAGAGGGCTTTATTTTAAAATGTATCCTTTTGTCATTTTAAAATCTGCCCTTAATAACTGCATATCCCAGTTGTTATCTGTCTGACTGGCAGCTTACCGCTGTTAAAAGAGAACTTATCTGGAAAGCAGGAATAGGATTTACCATAGCAAATGTTATTCAGGCCCAGGCTGCATTACAGCAAGGTTTCAGGACAAATCAAAGAGAGGAAATTGGTACCCAGGGTCACAGCTCTAGGGCAGCATTAGAAGGCAGGGCTGAACTGGGTGGGGTTCCTGGAGTTCACATGGCTGTGAGGGGTAAGGCTGGGAAATTGGGGTGACCTAAAAATAAAGTTGAGGGTGGGCAGCAGATTTGAGGGCAGGGTTGGGGTCCTTAGGCACACAAAGGCAGTGCAAAGATCAGTCAATCCAAGGAGGTGGGGGCAACTCTGAAGAGCCCCCCTCAACTGCATCTCTCTGTGGCCATGCCCAGTGCAGAGCTGGTAGAGGAGCCAACGGGGCTGATTGTTGGATGCTGTCATGTTGGAGCAGGGTCAGGAGATCCCTGCAAAGGTGATATATATCTTAATAGATGTATGTATTCTAACATATTAGCTATTATCTATCTATCATCTATCTATCTATCACCTATTTCTTTCTATCTATCTATCTATCTATCTATCTATCTATCTATCTATCTATCTATCTATCTATCTATCTATCTTAATTTAAAACAACTACAGCAAATAAGCACAGGCACAAAACCCAAACCAAGTAGTTTCTTTAAGATTTATACCAAGAGGACTCATTTAAATTATGGATCAAATGGATGTTTTCTTGAAGTAAATACCCTGGAGGGAATTCTCAGGAAGGGTGAGTCACCCAGATGTTTTAGATTAAGTGGCACGAAGAGACTGATTACTCAGCCCCATCAGAGGATGGGAGGAGTGGGTGATCACCTTTTGCTGCAGGGTGCTGGACAAATACTAATTAAATTATCTTATCCAGGAAGTACATTATTGCTGAGGGAGCACTGGATGGCAAAATCAAAAGTCTGTGTCACCAGCTTGCTGTGTAACTCTGGGCAAAACATTAATCATGTCTGTGTTCTGCTTGGAGCTCTCGGGCATGGGTGATCACCAAGCAACCCTGCCAGGACTGGCTTTGCTGGAAAGTTGAGTCCAGTTCCTACAGGACTTGGCCTTGCATTTGTCCCGGGGGTGCATGCTTGTTCCTGCTGGAACCCTACAAATTTCTTTTCGGCTTTCTCTTTGTTCAGACAGAAATCTCCAGAGGGGGTTCACATGGGTTTGTCCATGCAAATGTCCTTAGCTCTTGATATGAGTCAGGATGGGATTGTTGGAGCCCCTGCAGGAAAGTTTCCAAAGGTGGGGGCATGGAAAGCTGTTAGGACAGGACAAGAGGGAGCTGAGCAGGACAGCGGAGCACCTGCTGTGCACTAAGGTACATCGTACATAGGTGGTCTCACTGACTTGGGAACCTTTGCATCACTCCAGACTCTGCCTCCCTTGAGCTTTTGCAGCCACTCCCCTTCTCCCAACCTTCATTTTCTCAAATGGAAAATTCAAATAATAGGAGCCTCCTGTCTGAGTAGAAGGGTCAGTCAGTGTGATGAACTTAATGCAACATTTGGCAGTGAGAACTCTCCTTTGTGGCCTGGGCCATCCGCGTCAGGAACAGGGGGTTGTATACTTTCTTGAGCGTTCTGCTCCAGACCCCACAAGAGCTGCAAGGCCCAGGCAGGCCTAGAACATGACCCTGTGCCTCCAAGTGCCCTGGGCTGCAGCTCCTCACCGCACCAGGCTAGACTGGAGGGGGCTCTGTGTGCCCGGGCAGTGTCCAGCCCTGCTTCTATGCCTGGACACAGATGTCTACTTATAAAGACCAAGGGCTGAGAGGGATCTGGGAGCTTCGCCTCTGATGAGATTTTATTTGTAGGGCTGCTTTGGTGTGATGAATGGAAGAAGGAAAACACGGTGGTCTTTTTTATTTTCATAAGCATGCCTTGCCTGGAGTGTAACACCAGCTACAGCCCTGCAGAAACGTTTTTCCATGACATGATTGCTGAGGATGTCTGCCCTTCTCCGTCTTAATGATACCAGTGTGGAAAGCTCACTCCCTTCCTTCCACTAACGCAGGGTCCCTGGTGCAGTGCAATCCTGGGGAAATCGCCAACTGCGCGCAGGCCCTTTGAACCTTATTTCCCATGGGCGCCATCCACCTGATTCACTGGCGCAGTTGGAGGCAGCCTGCCCTTGGACAAGCGGGTGGGGAAGTGGGCGGAAGCATTGGGAAGGCCTGTGTCTGCTCTGTGAGTGGGCATTCCAGGACAAAGAACACCCTGGTATGATGAGAGAGAACAGGGCTGTTTTCTGTTCCTTTTGGTAGAGTAGAAGCGAGTTAAGACCAAGAGATTGAGAAAGAATTTTGTCCAGTGGTTTTCAAGCCTTTCTCTAGCCCTGGAAAATCTGCTCCAACAGAATCTTACTGGAACCCAAATATATTAAACAGTTGTAGAAGCAGACATGTGGTGGTTGCAATAGGTGGGGAATTGGGGTAGTGGGTCTTGAGACCCCCCTGCAGTCTCCCATGTCCCCTGCATTTCTGTGGGTTTCTGAGCAGCGCCACCAGAGGTACTGAGGCCCTGAGACTGTGAAGACTTAATTATGCAGCACCAACAAGCCTGTGTCTGTGCTGGGCTGGAAGGAAGATTTCCTGGGAGGTGGGAGGCACGATGTGTGGCACAGGATAGGGATATCCTTCCTGAACTCAGGATGATGCGGTTCTGTGACTGCCCACCTTCCACTCCATCCTCATGTTCCCCCCCAACCCCACACCCCAAGCCAGGATGAGAGCCTCACAGCCCCTTCCCAGTGGTCTGGAGCCTGCTGACTTGATGTTTCACCAGTGCCCTTGGGTCAAACTCCCTGTTTAAGCAGTTACCAAGGGAAATGGGAGGGCTCCACTCTTTTATTAGTTTAAGACTTAAGATGCTTCTTCTGGCTTCTCGGTCAATTTTGATTTTT